AGTATAATTTTTTGGAAGGCTACAAGTGAGATAAATATTATCAATTAACTGAAATTTATAGATGATAAATATTACCGTTAGAAAAAAAAAAAATTCATAGTATGCAAGCTGGCACCAAGCTTGCAAGCTGCAGCAAGCTAGCTGGGGCGGCTCTCTCCCCCCATTTTTTTCAAATTTTTTTAATTTTTTTTTTCACGAGCCAGTGGGAAAGGTTCTCTCCCCCTCTTTTTTTCAAAATTTTTTAATTTTTTTTTCACGGGCCAGGGGATTAACCGCGGCCCGTGAAGGTCCAACTCGCGGGTCACACCTCCTTTACCTATGAACCGCCCGCTCGGGTCACGGGTCGGCCCTCGATCCCGATTTTCACTGGTTTGACCGGCTCGCCCGTCTTGACACCTCAACTCGAAGGTGAAGATTTGGGATGAGATGAAGAGACCCATTTAGGGATTTTGGAGATTAATCAACAAAGTTAAAAGGGCTCTTTTGTTAGAGCTAAATTCAGCTACCTAAATGATTGGTCTATATGATTTAGGAATTTTTTTTCTTTTTTTTTTTAATATAAATTTTGAGTAATGTTATTCATTCCAGTGGGATTACAAATACAGTTTAGTGACTCTAAATGATAGGTTAATTGAAACATAGACTGTGTTTCTAAATTTCACATTTCTTTTAACCTATCATTTAGAACCACCTAGACTGTGTTTGTAACCCCACTGGGGATGAATATCATTACTCATAAATTTTACAGTATTTATGGGAAAAAAAATGGTTAGAAAGTAATGTTTAAATATTTAGCTTTATTGAAAAATATACTATTGAAAATGAATTTTGAAAAAATAATTTTTTTTATAAAATTGAGGGCTTATTAAAAAGAATAGGTAGTTGGTCCTCTCAGTTATCCTCCCAAAGAAGGAGTTGCAATTGGTGAAATATGATTTCACATTGGACATAATTGGAATTTGGAATGTATATGTGCAGTTGTGGGAGAGAATCCAGTAGGGAGTCTTGTTCATTCGATTGGGGCCGAAAACACCTAGCCCTTGTAAACAAATCTGAATCGGTTTAAATTCCGCTACCCATAAATCAGATTTACTTTCCCACCACCATAGATCTTACCCACTCAATTCTCTCAAAACAACAGCATAAATCCAGATGCTGGACCATGCATTGCTTCTCTGATTTCGTGAATACGTAATCTCAATACATCTGTCAGATCCAAATAGGCCCACCTTCTCCTCTTCCTAATGGGTTCTTCACATTCAATACAAATACCCTCAGAAGATGAACAGCAAGAGGAAGAAGATGAAGATGAAGATGAAGAAGAACATAATATCCAAACCGAAAGAAGACAAATGTTGGGTGATGATAATCTAGTCAAGAAAGTTTTAGAACAAGAGCCCGAAATGTTGCCGTGCCACGCGTCGGCTTCTCCGCTTTCACCGCAGCTGTCCACTTACGGAACGCCGCGATTGGGGCCATCGATCAAGGTGTGGGACCCTTACAATGTCCTGGCTCCTCCTCCGCCTTTGCCTCCACCACCGCAGTTCTCTAGGAGCTTCTCCTCCTCCTCGGATGCGGTGGAGGACGATCGGACGGTCACTGAGGTGTATTTGATCAGTCACGGGGAATGGCACATGAATTTAAGGCCGGATTTAATCGCAGGCCGCAGCCCAGAGGCGGCATTAACTCCCAACGGAAAGCGTCAGGCCAGAGCTTTGGCAGTGTTTTTGAAATCGCAAGGGATTCAGTTCAATTCTGTTTACACCTCGCCGTTGAATCGAGCACGTGCCACTGCGCTCTCTGTTTGCCAGGTACTCGTTGTGCTCTATAATCTGATTTAGAAAGCTTTGCAAATAGTAGATCCACTAAAAACTAAATTATGAAGCGTAATTAGGCTAATTCTTACCTTATCATTAAGATAAGTAATGGTTAATCTTTTGTCATAATTAATGTAGTAGAAAGCAATTGAAGTATTGAATAGAAATGAGCGGTGAAAAAGGGATTTTGTAGGACTTCAAATTTATTTAGGAATAAGATGTATTTCGTAGTAGTATGATTAATGAACTAGAAAGCCTTGGACTTTACATCTAAGTTTTATTGGATAATCCAGGGAGTTGTTGTGTCTTTGCTCGAATTGTGCTTTATGGCTAATGGTAATCAAATAATATTAGGATTGTTTAACAACAAAATGCAAGTCATTTTTAGGTCTTAAAGGCACATCGAAGTATGTATTAGTTTTTCTGTTGTATCTGAAAAGATGCCCATAGAGGCATAGGCAACTTATTCGGTGCATATACACGAGGAATAAATAATTGTTTTATGTTTCTCACTCGAGTCTTAAGTTATTTCTAATTTTTTTTCCTTTTCTCTAGCTCCAATCCCTGTTTTGGGCTCTGATTACTTTATAAATTATGATGATTTTATTCTGTTTATCTTCACTACACAATTTTTTATTCTCAGAAGCTAGTGAATCTATGACCATGCTTGTGAAAGTATGGAACTAGTTTATATTTCATAATTAATGGACTGGAGAATGCCAATGTCCTTCAAAATTATGATTATTCCACCTCATTAACATTTCTACATTTTCATTGGGAAACCCCTGTGGTGAACATCATTTCGAGAGTCAAAGTTTTTACATATTCATTTCTCATATTGGATAAAAAAGGAAAAAGTTAGAAAATTACAATCTTTAGGACCTTAATCTATCACCCGTTTGAAATTTAAGTAAAATGAAAAATACAACTCTAATGTAGTATTCACAACCCTATACACAAAAAGTATTATTTTCAAAATCTTTCATAACTCTTGGATAGATAAATATTGTTGACCTTTGTATTTTAGGACCTGCAACGATGAAAGTATTATTACCTGTTTCAGTTGCTAAACTTTATTTTCTTGGCCTAGCAGAGATGTCATGTGCTAGATGTTTAAGTAGATCCATTTTTAGCTTTATAGCTGTCTCTGCCTATGAACCTAAATGTATTGGTATTTTAAAAAACTAGATTTGGGGCTCTCTGCTGAGCAAGAGTTAGCTTGTTGCTAAGTAATCAATTCGGTGAAATCAGTGTACTCCGTGAATTTGAACCATTTTATCTTGTTACTTACAAGTGGTATCTTCTGTTACCTTTTTTTCTGAATATTTCCCTTGTGTTGCCCAACTGGATTGCTAATTTTGCAACATCTAGATACATTGCCTGATAATTGAAAAGTTGTGTTAGCCAAGCCATCCTTTCTTTTTAACTTTTATCATTAATTAAGCATGGGGTATATTAAAGCATGAGGTCAGTTGCTGTCTGATAATTGTTGATTTTGAATCAAATTACTTTCTGAACTAGTGAGGAAGGAAAATATGATAATTTTTCTTTTTCTTATGAAATTTCTACAAAATCATTTAGCATTTTCTTTTACAAAATGTATTGTGCTCTTACACCTTCACTAGATGGTATGGCATGGACAAGATGCGTACACATGTGCATGCATTGTCAACTCTTCCATATATATGTGACCTAGCTCTTTTTCCGTAAACAAAAAAACATATTTTACGATCATTGATCTATTGTGTTCTTCTTGTCTATTTCTGCTTATATTCTTTGCCCAAGGGTAAGCCTGTTGATATTTCCTTCAGCATATATAAGAATGGTGGAGGATAGTTATTTCCTGTTGTGGAGAAACTGTACCTCAAGGATTTTTTTTATTGATAATTGGATAAATTAACAAGTGTGTTACATGCTAAAAGACAGAATGTGAAGAAGTGTTCGTTCCACGAGGTGTACCCAAGTAGTTGCTCCTCACTTCTTTGATTATATGTGAGGACATTTGTTACCACATGCTTCATGATACCAGTTTAAACATGTTATGTAGCTTTGAGTTTTGACATAACATGAAATGACTTTTAGCCCATATATGGCTCATGTTTATAAAGTATTTATAAATTCCAAGTTAGTTTTTATCCACACAATTCAAAGGACCCACAAGTACCACTTATCCACAACTCATTTCTGCTTATTTAGAATTTAAATTGTTTATAAACACTTCCCGGACATACTTTTAAGTTAGGTCTCTTGAAATTTTTTTCCTTGGGAAAAGTAAATTTATGAATGTTACGAGAGTTTTATTATTTATAGGAGCTTAGATGTCTATTCTTAATGTTTTGCATCACAACTCAAGGACCAACAGATGAACCTTCAAGGAGTGACACTGACCACAATCAGAATTGTATTGCAACAATTACTAAAACATTTTTCATCATGGTATTTAAAGCAAATATATTCTAGTGGGCATAGTCCCGAAGTAGGATTGCTTAGTCATTTACATCATCCAATGGTGTTGGTTTTCTTCTTTTGTTTTCAATATTTCATTTTTTGTTTGATAAATCCATTTCAAAATGAGTAAGGTGAACAGAAAAATGTTTTGATTTGTGGTATTGTTAGAACACCATAAAATATGTGTTAAATTTCATTAAGGGTCATTAGATCAAACTTTGCAGGAGTTAAATTTTTTGGAGGAACTGATACAATCTTCAGATGCATTGGTGGAGATGAGCCAGGGACACTGGGAAGGATGCCACCGTTCAGAAATTTTTACACCTGAAACGATGAGCTTTGTGGAGAGATTCCAGCCAGATTTTTCTGCTCCATCTGGGGAATCACTGAGGCAGGTGGAATTCCGGATGGTTCAGTTCCTAAATGGTACAGTTTTGACGTTGCCTGAAAAATATAGATCCGTTTTCTCCCCACCAGAACAGAGTGAGAACCCGGTTTTTCAAAACCACAGTTGTCATGCTCCATCAAATTTAATTCCCGACCAAGATGGGCCGTCTCTCCCTCCACACCATTGGGATTTGCTTCACAGGAATCGGCAAGGGCTTTCAAGGAAGAAATCCGGGAAGAGCAGGCTTCAGATCGTGACTACCACTGGGGATAACGAGGCTGATGACGAGATGTCTCCTCGAGTACCCATTAACCAAGGGTTGATTCGTGACATAAATGTCAGAAACACCCCTTCTTCCGCATCTTCTTGTGTCGGTATTTTCACGCACTCGATCCCAATCAAGTGCCTCCTTACCGGCATCCTTGGCTGCAGTCCAGCAATGTCGCATAAGATTTGCATAGAAGATTCGTCTGTCACAGTACTACAACACACATGGAAACTTGGTTGGCAGATCAAGAGATCAAATGATACTTCACATCTCAGGCTTCTGTAATGATTATAAAATTCTTTTTTGATGGAAATTGAGGAGAACATCCATGCAGTCACTTATCTGGGGCTGTAAGAACTTGTGGTTATGTTTTTGTTACTTGTACCCTTATTTATATTTATTTCCAGGGTTTACTTCTCCAGTTGAAAGATAGTTGATGCTGGAGCCGTGGTCGAGTGATTCTTTTGATTTGTAGCATTAATGTTCACATTCACACCGGTGGCGAGAGACATATTTCCCAATTTGAAAGGATAATAAGGTGTTGCGGAAATCTAATTTTTGACATTTTGTTATTGGCTTTTTGTTTCAGATTATTTTCTTAAGCAGCCTTTGACCTTGCATTTATTTTGGTAAAAGAAGCACATACGTAGAATGAGCTTAATTTATTACTACAGTAATTTGTACATCAGAAATGCACTAGCTAGCCAGGGTTGTGTTTAATGTCCTATCACACTGTCGACTCACTTTATATCAATTCATGCAATGGCCTCCCCATTGCATTGAGATTCATAGATTCGTGCAGGAACGTGGAAAATAAGGGTCTATTCTCT